TTTTTTTCTTTATGAACGGTGTAAAGTCCAAAAGACTTCTGACTCCAACTCCGCTTCAACTCCTATAGGAACTTATTTTGTCCTGATTCATTTTCTTCTTTATTTTATTAGTAGTTGTTTATTTCCCTTTGCTTACGAGAGTACACACAAAAAAAGTCATTTTAACAATTCAACAAAAAAAGGAAATAATTGTCAGACTTGTGAAAATTTTCAACTAGAGTTGTGGAGTTAAAGTTGAGAAAATCTGAACTCAACTCAACTCTAATCTAATAAAAACGCAACTCCAACTCCACTAAAAAGAGGCTCAATTTCGAAGTTAACTCCAACTCCGTAGTTAAACTTGGAACAACGCTCATGGATGAAAACTACAGGTTATTTATCTAATATGATAATTAAAAATCATTTATATTCTAACTAATTAATTAACAACTCGAATGTAAGTGTAAGTCATGCCAGCCTCTGTGTGTTATGTGTGTGTGATGATTAAACAACTTTGCTGACTCGATGCACTTCAGATGTACACGATATCTGCACGATTGAGCTGTTTATTCTAATCAAGTGCTAATAAATTTGAAAAACTTCTCCATAAAACGGGATGACCCTTTTGGCATAAACACTGTCACATATGTAACTGATAGTGCTCTACAAAAGCTCTCTTTGGCAATCTCCTAGGAAAATATATTATGAAAAAACTTTTAGTCTTTTTTCACCCGTACTGATACAATAAACAAGAACCAGTATAGAGCCGTAGCACAATGGTTTAGTGCGAAGAACGTGAATTTTTTTGTCGCCGGTTCAAATCTGACACGGATCTTTTTGGTTTTCTTCAAAAATCGAAGTGATTCATATGAGATAAATGGTAATCCTTTAGCTGGTGCACAAGCTAAACGATTTGAATGACTTCAGAAACATGTTCCCCCTTGTTTTTGAAATCATTCAATGGTTGGTGCATTTGCTAAGCCTATCCCACTGCATTTTTTCACCCTTCATCATCAATAACCTGTTGATCGCCACTCTCCACGCTTCGGTAACTGGGTGAAAAAGACATGCAGAACAGTTTAAGTTATAGGACGAACTTTTATCTGATTCCATTTTATTTTATCTATCTACTGAAGGTATCTGTAAATATTGTAGCATAGGTCGCGTTGTTACTGAAGATGAAATTTTTTTTCAAATTCTTACAACACCACCAAGGAAGTTTCTCAAGACAAGGTTATATACTAAACTAGATTGTTTTAGCTATTCCTGCTATCTCTTTACTATGAAAGCTGTGTTTTCCATGGTCAAATTGTTCATATTCCTGACATAGATATAACGTTCGAAATAAAACACAGCTTTCATAAGTGGTTTCTGATGGAGATTACGAATCGGATGTTCGCTCGATTACTAGGCTTTGTATAGTACTTATATGAAGCAAAATACGTTCGTTTTTGACTGATTCTTTTTCTTGAATATTATCAAGAATTCAGATTTTCAGAATTTACAACTTGTATATATTTTGTAAACCGAGACTCTTATGATTCTGCAAAGCCTTGGCCATTAGTTTCATTAAACTTTTATACATATGTAACTCGATATGCTCTATAAACTGATGCTTTTGTAAATGTTTATTGTGGAGGTTTGTCAGAGGTTTTAAGAGGTTTTAGTGTTACATGAAAGTTGTGCATCAACTGCACTCACGACTTCCTCGTCCAGTATAATTTTAGAGAATACAATGCAACAGCAGAACGCTTAGGATAAGAATAATAAAATTCAAGAAAAAGGATCAATTTGAAAAGAACGTGTATCACCCTATATGGGAAATTCCGCGTTTAACGAAAATCACATCGTTAATTGTAGTATATATTGGAACTGTTAGGTATCAGGATAGTGAGATATTTAAATTCAATTCTCAGCGATTAATACCGACCGGATTCAACCTTAGATATACAAAAAGTTTATTCCTAAGTTACAATTTGCGCTCTCGAGAACCAGAGAAAAATTGATCATAAAAAATGTAAAAACAAATTCATAAGCAAACGTCATCTTGTCTACCGAAAATTTGATTTTCACTGAAAGTTCACGAGACTCATTGGCAATAATGAAACGTACCAGCTCTATTGTATGTTGCTATCTAAAACACTACTATTTATATTGTCAAATGCAGCTATTTGTATTCTTCCTTTTAAAAACAGAAAAGAAAGGTTCCGTGCTCAACCAACAGTTATATAGAATCTACAATAGTACAACTGCCCCACCTGATATAGTTTCGGAAAAAAAGTAACAAGACATGAATTCGACAGAAAAATAATAATAATTTTACAGTAAACAAAAAAAACCTGGCCTCTGCCTAGAGCTAGAGAAATCTGTCATCTATCAAAGGAAAAGAAAAAAAAAGTCGAAACTTAAAACAGTAGAACAATCATACATACGTTGTAACTAATTTACTTGGCTAATTCACATAAGACTTGAAAACATGTAGAATTCATGTACGCAAGAAAATAGACAAACTACCAAGTGTAGTACGGAAAATATCTGAATAATCATAACAAATAATCAGTAATAGAAGACGATTCAAATTTCTTTTCATCATTCTCTTCTAGATAATAGGTTTAAAATTGTGATAAATGACTATGTAACATCGATAATATTTGTACTCACCGTTTCAAGTGCTATACGGAATCTGTAAAAATTCAACATGGAAAACTAGACGGCAATCACGCCAGCGAGAGTTGCAAATGCACTGCGCAGTTAATAACATACAGCAGCCATACCACAGCCGTCCCATATTAATGAAGAAAGTATAGATTACTTGCATAATTATGTGAGGCTAAAATAATGATTTATCAGTCTGAAACAGAGAACATCGCAGGGCAAATTGTTTCGCCTTACCCTATCTTGCCCTGTCCTGTCAAAAAATTACTCATAAAAAGTTTTTCGCTTTATAGCTTATTTATTAATTCAGACACACAGTTCCCTATTTGCGTTTAAAATTTTACCACTATCCGAAAAATTTCTGAAGCGGATTTTTCAGAGGAAAACTTTGGAAAACTAGCTTGGATTTTCCGAAATTCACATAGGAATGTATTGATTTTTTTCACGGGCTGATAGCCCGGGTGTTCTCTTCAAAATGGGAGTAAAATGAGACCTTGATTTTCTGTGGTTTCGGCGTTGTATCGTATTTCCGACGAGTCCCAGGACTGGTACCCGGTGACTCTCGATAGCCTTAAAGACGGATGGACTACGGATAATTGACCATGCTGATGTCTCGTGGCAATATTTGTTTTTAGAAAAAGTATTAAGAATCTACCGAAAAGCCAGTTTGCAAAAATTAGAGTTTTCAGGCTGTCTTAATCTAATATTAAAAAGTTCACTATTCATTCCAAAAACATCAAAACGAGTTCAAAACTTCAGAATGTAGAGTATTTAAGTTATTCTATATCCTATTTGTAGAAGATCACGAAATAAATTTTAAAAAACCCCAAGATTTTCCAAAAGGGTTTCTGGGTTCCTATTAACAAAAATGTGTTTTTCGATTGTTTTTCGAAAAACGCATTGTTTCCTTTGTGGTGTCCGAACTTGTTCTGTCAAAATTCAACATTTTGAGAAAAACAAGGTCATATTCGGACTCAGGATCGAATGACATGAGTCTCAGTGTTTTGGGAAATATTTGAAGTTTGAGTGAAAATTTTGGTTGTGGATTTTTGAAACAAACGAAAAACTCCTGGCACTCATGTCATTCGACCCAGTTCTTGATCCTGAATCTGAATATGATCTTGCTTTTGTCAAAATGTTGAATTTTGACCGAGAAAATGACAAAGTACAGGTCCAATTTCAGAGTTTCTCACACTGAATTCATAAAAATTGAATTTTCTGCCAACCAAGTAAAATTTTTCAAAATCGGTACATACTTTTTTTTCTCATAAGTATATAAGTGAGAATGAAGTATGAAAGAGAATTTTATCTTCCAAATCCTAGAACTAGATAGGCTTGCAAGGTTAGCCAGCGGACCTTTTACCATCCTGCTCGTCTTCAACGGTTCTCGAAGTACTTTCTATGTCACTCCCCCCCTGATGTCCACGGGTGTGGACATTTCATTACTGTACACGGTGCAACAAGACAACTTCACAGAAAATTTCTTTTCTTGTGTAATTATAGAGAGGATCCTTGTAGCAATACTTATCCACCACTACAGCTGAAAATCCTTATATTGCTACAGCTATGGAAAAAGCTTTTTAAAAATTCAAAAATTTGAAACTCTTCAATTTTAACAGTTAATTATCTCAGTCAAGATCCATAGAAAACAATTTCTTTTTTACCAATCGAGAGCTGATGAAGTCTCTAAGGTTGGAACAAAATCCGGTTCTGATATGATGCTCCGTTATTTTTGTATATCGATTTTATCAATGTCCACGCGTGTGGACATCCGAGGATGAAGAGTTAAAATTGTTTAGAATCCTTCTTTCTAACTTATATTTTGTTCAAAGCTTTTATATTTGTTCAAAATTGAGCTACTTTTTGCTATCAAATAATAAATCAAGGTAAACAGTGCTAATATAACATTTATAGTGATACGCCCGTACATGCAGTAGATCACAATGAAACAAATAAATACAGACACAGAAGATATGAAAATGAGCAAATAACACAGAAAACAATATAAAAAATCAGGAAAAAGTACACATTTCCTCGTAAAAACAGAGGATTTTCTTGTTTGGAAACTGAAACACTTAAATAATAAATGATAATAGAAAAAATATATAATATACAGTTGATACCATATAATTGCAGTAAGAAAGAAGATATCACATGAAAAAGAACAATTCATTCTACTTATAAAAAAACTTGGAAATCAACCCATTTATATTTTTGATACGCCAACAGTGACAGACGACTTTATTGGAGTTTGGCCATTGGTATGAACATTATGACAGAGAACATAGAAAAACTCTACTATTTATAATATTTATAGAATAGTATATAGCAATATTTGATTCTCAAATTAGTATCACATGTCATTATTATATAAATGCATCGCTGATATTTCGACCAGAAAAATTATTAATTCGCTGATAATTTGGTTCTCCTGTTGTCATTGAATGATGAGAATTAGTTGGAGATGTTGGAAGTGCAAAAATAGATTTGGCTTGAAATGGAGGTGCGTTAGCTGACAATTTTGATTGAAAATGTTCTAAAATTACGAAAAACATTGTCGTTTTTGTAAAAATTTATACTACCTCAAAAGTAAATTACCTACCATTCTGCTCGTGGTCATTTACTACTTTATTATTCGATGTCGCCAATAAATCATCATCTGTTATAATTGTCATTTTATCTAGTTTTTCTATCTGTTCATCACCACCACCACTATCATTATCATTCCAACTTTTTTCTATTTCAATTGCGGGAATATAATCATTTTTATTAGTCAAAGTAATTGAATCCTGAAAATTTTCTACTTCTGCGTGTAATTTATCGACTGCTATTTTAACGGCATCAATTTGAATTGAATTTGTTTGTTTGTGCGTTTGAACATTGAATAGAGTATGTTGTAAACTGTCAATTTTTGTTTTTTGCTTTAATTTAAAATTTTCTAAACGTTCCTTTGATTGTTGACGATACAGACGAATTTTATCCATTTTTTCATTATAAATTAATTCAACTTCTTTTATTTTAGCACATAGCCACATATTTAAATGATCTTCACATGATTTAAATGTATCATCGAAATTTAATCGATCTAATTGTTCAGATAAACAATTTAAATCATCGCAATACATGTTCGCCTTTATAATTAATTCATCATTATGTTTTAATAAATGGGCAATACAAAGAGACTTTTTACAGTGAAGGCAAATAGCAACTTGACACAAAATACAATTATTTTCTTCACAAAGTTCCATAAAGTTTTATCTAAAATCAAAACTAGAATGCAACTGTGCTATACATACACGCTCTGAACTCGATGAATTAGAATGAGAATGCGTTGTTACTCAGATAAAAAGTAGAACTCGAAAATAAACAATCTTTATATAAAATTCTTATTAATACAAAAAGCTCAGTTCTAACTGATACTAGCTGAACCTAAAGAATTCGGAGAGAATGATTGTTACTATCTCCTTCGTTACTTCCTACTCTAATGTGTTATGCGAATGTTGACGATACACGAGCATACATTCAAATAGCACAAATATATTAACAGCTTCGTTAATGTAGCCGACAATACCAGCAGCAAACTGTATTCGAAAACGTTGACCACGTGAATTATCAAATTTAACAATTATTACCTTATTTACAGTCATAGCAACAACACATCACCAAGTATTCAATACACACGTCAAATCTATAAATTTCAAAACTCTTTTCAAATACAATGAGTTCGTGTAAATACGAACTATTTACATATCTTCTTTAACGATTCTTGTTTAACGAATTTCTGATGTACTACTACACTTAGACTTTATCGTTAATTAGTCTTTTTGTAATTCGCAAGTAAATGTATACGTAAATGAGCGGGAACAGTCGAATATGAGCATCGAGTATAGACTTTTGAGTATAAACAGTTTGTCTTTCGATTATCGATATCGCTATAATAAACTGGATAAACAGCACAAACACACGATATCGGTATGCAGGATCATGAACACGTTCGATTTACGTTTCATAATTGGAAAAAATAACAAACAGAGAAATATAAAAACATTCATGCTATCTGCATATTAGTAGAAACTGTATGGTTCAGAACTGTATGATTAGATATTTATTGGAACAATTTTCGGTGTTTTACAAAATTGAGTTACTAAGTTTCATGCTGTTACAGACTCTGATCTAGTGTTATTATCATAGCTACTTGAGGAGATAAACTATATGGAACAAATAATCGTTGTTATTATAACAACGCTTATTTGTTCCATATACTTTTTGTTATTTGCTCCATACCTGTATATATTATATACAGGTTGTATCGTTATTATAGATATTGATATGAATTCCATCAAATGAGATGTGAGGCTGAAAATGCTATTTATTTAATTAAACAATATCAGTCAGACAAAATCAGTGGAATCAACTTATAGAAAAGCTATCCGCGCCAAATAACCCTCATTTTGAGGAGATACACATAAACGACTATACACTTGTTTTAACTGCATGCGACGTTATAGAAACTATTCAAACACTTTCTCTATGCGAATCCTCATCGTTTGATAGAATATCGAATACATACCAAATAATCTACATTCATCATTCTACCAACGCTACTCGTTAGAATATTTTTATTTAGTGCAAATATGTAGTGAAATACAAATCTGTACAGCGGAATTCCGAGAGAAAAAAATTTCTTATGAGACTCGAAATTCCAGGTCTGTTGTGCTAGAAAATCAGGTCAGTCACGTCGCTTAGAAGTTACAACTATCTGTGGTATTCGTTCAACTTTTGAGTGAACCATCTTCTCAATGAGTATGTAATTGTTGAAAGTGTATTTTAGCCCTTCTACAGCTATAACGAAAAAGTACATGGTTTGTTATATTCATTAGGACCATAGATGGTCAAACTTGCTAGGCTATTTCATTGATAAAGATGTTATTCACGAAAAAGAGCTTAGTTGACAAGAGCTTTTAGCAACGGAACCAAAGAAGAGAAAGTCCGCAAAACTTTAATTTTCCACATGTACTTTAATCCTATATCGAAGTGAATATTCTATGAGTGGCACACCAAAAAATAAGAAAAAGATAAACAATAAACAGCAATTAAATAAAAATAAAACACAAGAGGAATAAATCTTCGTTTCGCTCTGCTACAGTAAGTATGAGTTTTGAGTTTCAACTCAACTCACATCGGAACAGGAAATGAATGAATGAGTGGTCAATCTCAGAACCAATAACTTTGTGTAATTAATTTCTAAATAAATGCTTACTTACAAACGACGAAATGATATCAGTTAAAATTGTACAGATTATGCCTGGCTGGAAGATTACTCCCTTTTCTAGTAAGTACATTATGTTAAAAGCGAGTTAAATGTCGCTAGACAACATCAGGGGAAATATACGAGAAGTGTGAAAATAGATTGCCAATGAAATGAGTCTGCTAACTTGTGTTGAGGCTCATCCGCATTTCCAACGGTTTCTGTCACACACTTACATAAATTCTTATTCTAAGATCTTTTGTACAGTTTCATACTGCAGTAACAGGTAACCAGCGATATTAATGCGCATCTCAGAGTTTTTCAAGCGATGCGCAAGGATCTTATAAGATTCCAGCACCACACCTACATGTTCAATTTACCTGTCACGCCTAAATCATCTTTCGTGTCTTTATGTCGCAGCGTCGTGATAAAATGTCTTATCGCTATTACGGTATGACTTGCGGAATAAGCCGTGATTTTGTTGCAGTGTAAGAGCAAGAACACTATTCTTCTTTATCATTTGTATTATCTGTTTGCTTCTCAAAAGTGCTAGGCACGCGAAAAAAAATAGCTCAGCTTTGCATGAAAAGAACTCAAGAAATTCTTTCTTAGCTGTAACGATTTCTAGGAAACAAATGCATACTTATCCTTATAAATAAGCGTTTTTGATACTAACACAATAATAAAAGTTTAAAACGGTGCAGAAATCATAACGGCCTTCATGCTATCTTAAAAAGAGAAAGAATGACCATCAACTCTTCTCTCTGCACACGTGAACAGAGAACAAAGACTTTTCTATGCGTGATGTCTCTGTTACAGGCAATGTGTAGATACGCACGTCTCAGACGCTTTTATCCTCTTTTAACGAACAAGTATCGTATAGATTTTGATAAATCTTTTTAAACCTTAAGACACCTGGAATCACACCCAGTATTTCCGATGAAAATATCTTACCATCCTCCATCCTCTCATTTTAAATTTTCTCAGATATTGCAAGTCGCGCATTACTTGCCTATGATCCTATGATTCAATAATTCTCGAGACAAGAATTTAAATTCGAGAGTCGTGTTACATGCAGTTTTGAACTCTTCTAAAAATACAAATATTATCGCGATGTGACTTATTTTCAAAACTAATAGGTTCACTTTAAGAGTAAAGCGTTATCACGCTAGGATTTTTAATGGTAATAAATATCATTAAATTCAATATTAATTATCATGATTTATTAAAATTGTTTATTACCGAGAGTCACACGAACGAGTTATGTGTACAAACGAGTAGATGACTCTTCTGCACTTGAGTCAGGAAAAAACAACAAAGCCGCGTGATTGCGAGTTCTAAAGTTTGAATAATAAAAAGTCATTGTAATTGGACTGCGACAGCGAGAGTTTATAATGATCAAAGCGTGATTTGCGCGACTTGCGCATGGTCACGAAGCGAGAACTGCAATCGTGCCAGGAAACCAAAAATATTGACTGAGGCTATTTACATGATCCTACAGAAATTCAAAAGTTTGCTGATGTCTTGCCTCGAAAGGATTTCAGACTGGTAAAATTTCTTGGAAAATCTTAACCATGTGGTTGGATAATATAGTACTTACGAGGGAACCTCCCGAGGTGATTAAAAGCTTTTCGACTCAAACTATTTTCATCATGTAGGGGATACTCAGTAGTGAAAAACCCCAAGTTGGTTTGGGCCCATGCGCCTTTTTGACGGAGATATGAGTTAATTAATGAAAATGCCATTAATAATAATTAATTAATATCTCACGACCATGATCAGCTAGGAGTCGGAAAT